TGTGTGTCTGTGTGAGTGTGTGTCTCTGTGTGTGTGTGTGTGTGTCTGTGTGAGTGTGTGTCTCTGTGTGTGTGTGTGAGTGTGTGTTTGTGTCTGTGTGTGATGACCCTGTTGACGGACGCTCTAGTGATTGGGTTTGGTGTGGTGGTTAAAGCACAGGTTGTTGGATCGATTCCGGTGAAGAAAAAGTCAGTTGTGCCCTTGAGCGAAGCAGCTGAAGGAATGCTGCAGAATGAGCTCATCTCTATCGACAGCATTTGTCAATTACTACAGAAAATAACTTTGACCCTTCCATCAGGTGGTGTTTACACTAACATACTTCAGTGGATGTGCGCAGGGTTCATTCACTCTTAGGGTTCAAATGCAAAAATGTACTGCTGGAATTTTCGTTAAACACTTTTAATGTACAAAAAAGTAAGCAAGCGATTCTGTCACACTAGTCTCATGTTAAATTGTCTGTGGTAAATGTAATGTCTATTACCTTAAATATATTGCTTTCCCATATTAACTTATATTGTATTGCATTACAGCAATAGTGTAAAAATGAAATGATTTAATAGCCTTAAAATTGCCTTAAAATGTGAATGTCATTTGTAAATGACCTTTAAATATGTGCTATTTGATATTTATTTATATTAGAGAATATAAGAGTTTTATTATATTAGAAAATTACTAGTATAAAATAAATTTGAAAAATAAATGAATATAAAGTAAACGAACAAAAAAAAAATAACAACACATAATTAAAGGTGTATATATAAGTACAAATATAATTATAATTTACATTTAATTCAATAAAAATTAAGGTAAATGCAAAAATTTTATATTACTATAGAATGTTTTGAAAAAATATTTTAAAATAATTTTTGAAAATACATTTTATATTTCAATATTTTGTTTAAAAAAATTATTTTTCCCCTTTATTAAATAGTATAGTGGAGTGACAAGAAAGTACAGGGAGAGAAAGAGGCCGGTCTCGAACATTTGAAGCTGAAAACACTAAAATAATGTGTTTTTGTATCAGTGTGTCATTGCTTGTGAGATGTTGTGAAGACCGAATATAGTTTTTATTGTGATAGATGTTGTGTTGGTTTATGAAGCATCAGGTGACGTGGGTCACACTGACTCTCTGCAGCAGATGGTTCTGTCTTTCGTCGATGTGTTTGTCGTCTCTGACGCCCACACGCGCTCGTATCATCCACATTCATCCCTCGTTCTCCATTGAGATGAAATGAAAATGGCCTTTTGTTGATTGCTTTGTTGAGGATAAGATAAGATAATAATGTAGTTTTTAATGCATTTGCTTTGATATTCCTGGAGTGTTCTGGGTCGTTTTTAGCACGTTTCTGCAGTGATTGGTTGCTAGGGTGTTATTTGATGGTTGCTAGGCACTGATGCACTTAATTGTTTTTTTTTTTATTTTATTTTTTTACTGAAACCAAAAATATTGGACTCAATATAACTGAGTCCTGGGTTCTGAATCAGCTGTCAGTTTTATTAATTTTATAATATTATTTGCATTTATTATCATTCATATTTATTCATTGTATATATTATTTTGTGTCTGACTGAAAATCAGAAACAAGAATTATATGGGAGTCTGCAAGAAGGTTATTTTCGTATTTTTAAAAAATGTTTTCATTTTATATTTCATTTTACTTATTTTTTTAAATTTTTATTTTATGCTTTTTATTTTATATTTTTAACTAAAGATATTGGACCAACTGAGGCAATTATTCGTTTTATTAATGTATTTAAGTATACATTTTTTATTACAGCAACTGCCTTTTGTTCTGACTTTATAATAATCCTTACAATAAAGACTGAAAAAATATTACAAATATTGTTTTCATAAATTGATCATTTCTATATCAATGTAATGTTGGCTTTAAATAAATTTTTTAAAAAATATTTATTATTTTTTATTTCATTTTTAATATATTTTTGAAATCATCATGTGTTTTGTGTAGGGTTCAGTAAAACTTCGTTGTCCTTTTGGATTTCTCCTCATGCATCTCATCACACATAAGAGGGCATCTGATATTTAAGAAAATTTCTTCTATCTTTTATCATCCAGCAGGTAAACTGTTGCATCTGATCACATAGTAAAGTAAAGGCACACGTCTGCTCAAGCAGACACATGATTCCAGCAATCACTGATGTCTGGTGTGGGATACTCGAGTTAGGGCTTAGTTTGTGATGTATGGCTGCCATTTACTTATTACCAGCGCGGTTTGGCGCGCACACACACACACACACTTGCGCTCAAGGACTGTAGCGTTTCTTGCGTGTGTGGTGTTAATGAGAAGTTCACCTGTGCCTGTTTCTCAGGTCAGAGAGTCGATGTCGCAGTCAGAAGCGCTTTAGCTCAGTGGCGTTGGCAGCGGTGTGTGTTTACGCAGGTTGGCGTGTGTGTCGTCTTAGTGTATGGAGATGATGTGGGCTCTGCTGATTTCCCCGGGGATGCGGTTGCTGTGGTTACAGAAGGGCAGGATGCTGATGGCTGTCTTAGATTAATGCCATCACCTGGATAATCACACGGCTCTCCACAGGTGTGTGTGTGTGTGTGGATTGCAAGCTGGCAGCTGAACTTTTCTAGGTGTGTGTGTGTGTGTGTTAAACAGCCATGCTCTCTCTCGCTTTCTCTCCTGCTCAAGGTTTGTCAGTCCCAGTTTGGTGTCACTAAAAGAGAAACAAAAAAGCTTTGACTAAACAAAACAGATAAAGGAATCAAAAATGAAAATTCTGTCAAAAGTTCATTTGTATTCATGCATATTCCAGCTAACGCAACACGATTGCTCACAGCACGATGGGAACCAATGGGGTTTGGTGTCATTTGAGAGAGAAAGAAAGCATTAATGAAGTTTACAGTGAATAACACCGTTCCAGTTATATCTTAGTAGTATTTATATAACAGGTATCCAGGTGATAATCTCAGTTCTTCAGTTTCTTCAATTTCAATTTCCCACAGTTTTTATCTAATAATATATATATATATATACTGTATATTTTTCAGCTTTCTTTCAGCTAACAAAAACTACTTTTAATAGTCAACAATAATAATCCTGCTCTGTTCCTTCCAAAAAATATCACGTATTACTTCTAAAGACCTTAAATATTGCACGAGTCATATGGACTACTTTTAGAAAATGTTAGCTTGTTTTTTTTTGTTGTTGAAATTTTTGAAGCTGATTTTGTATTTTAATGAAGAAATAGTCATATGGTTTTAGAATGACTTGAGAGTGACTGTGTTATTTTAATGTTATGGTATTTATTAATTTTTTCTCTTTTTAATTTTTTTTTTCAGTTTTCATTTTAATTTGAGTGTGAGATTTAGTCATTCTTTTTATTGTCTTTTTTAATATTATTGTTTAGATTTACATTTTTTAAATCAGTTTTAGTTTTATTACTTCAACTAATTTTAGTACTTCAACTTATTTTATTTCAGTTGCAGTTTTATCTAATATTGTAATAAATTCAATTTTATTGCCATTAAAACCAATAACTACTTTTAATAGCTTTAGATAACAAAAACACTAGAGAGTGAGTATTTTTTTTGGGGGGTGAACTATTCCTTTAAGCAAAGATAAACTTGCACAGTATCTCTAATTTGATTGATAAAGGAGTGTGAGTCTGTTTTAACTGCATGTGTGTGTGTGTGTGTGTGTGTGTTTTTAAAAGGGCCACTTCAGCTTCAATCAACGCTGAATCTGATTTATTACATCTTTGCAAACACACTCACACACTCTCATCTCAAGCTGCACACTGTGTCCTAACCAGCCGTGACGAGTGAAAAATATCTACACTAACCATCAGAATCAGAATCAGATGACTCCGAATCAAATGAATCTGAATCTGAATCAGTCAGTGGTTCTAAATTGTGGTTAGGACATGGTGTCAGAGACTAGCTGAGATCTCTGACTTCACTAGAACCAGTGTGAGCTGGTTGTGTGATGCACTCTTTGACCCCGTGACCTCTCCTGTACTGGCTGTGACCCCTGACCCCGTCCTGTGCAGGATGCAGACGTCCAGCACCACCTGCAGCCTGGGCTCGGCTGACGAGAACGCGGTGATGCAGGCGGACGACGCGCTCAAGACGGTCCACCTGGAGCTGACGGAGACCTGCCTGGACATGATGGCGCGATACGTCTTCTCCAACTTCTCTGCGCTGCCCAAGAGGTGATGAAATTGATAATTGAAATTGTAAATTGATATGTTAAACAGAAGCTATTAGTAATAAGTATTAGTATTTTAAAAATAAAATTAATAATAATAATAATTAGTTTTATTATAGTAGCCTTACTTTAGACTAAAAGAGTTAGTAATTGATGTTTATGATTGATGTTAATTTAAAATAAAATAATAAAAAATTATAATAATAATTGCCTATTTTAATCTGAAACTGTGAGTAACGTTTTAATTTTTTTTATTAACGTGCATTTAAAAATAATAATAATAATAATAATTAATTGCCCTACTTTAAAACTGAAACAAAAAAGAATTGTGTACTTTTGTATCATGTTTAAAAAAATACAAATTAATAATTTATAAAAAAGAAAATAGTACAAACAGTACTAAAACAATACAAATATGTTTTTCATTAAGTCTAATTTATGCCAATAGATCTCACTGACCAGTCTTTTAGGATCAATGCACCAAAAGCTGTTTTACCATCGGACTTTAATGGAATTGTAATTTCATTCATTTGTCAGTCACTTTGAAAGAAAGAGTCAGCTAAATGAGTAAATGCATTGAAGATGTGTAGCTAGAGCTGTAATTGCTTGACCTTCATCCTTTTGTTCGGTGTCTGCTTGTAAAGCTTTAAATAATACTTGGCTTTCATCTCTGCGGTGCGTGATGAATGCAGGCCGCTGAACACTGCATCCATTCACCTTTTGTACCAGAGCAAACTTTTTTTGCACCCCTTTGCAACCCTACTCTTATAGTAGTTGTTTCACTCTGTGTGTAAATAGGCGTATCAACTGATATCCTTATCCGGCCTGTTGTTTTGGACAGTGTAGCCTCTACTTTTAGCGCACGAGCAGCAAACTCCTGTCAGAGATGGATGGGTTTCTCACAAGGACACTAAATCAGTTCAGTGCAATTTTATTTATATAGCACATTTAAAAACAACCATGGTTGACCAAAGTGCTTAACAATGTCTGGAAAAACTCACACACACAAACAAGACAAATACAGTAAAAACATCACAATGTCTCCGCTCAGCTCGAAATAAAAGCCAAGGAATACAGGTGTGTCTTAAGTAACGACTTAAAAATTCCAACAGTCTTAGCAGTTCTTATGTGTACAGGTAAACTATTCCACAAATTAGGTGCCACCACTGAAAAAGCTCGGTCACCTTTATTTTTTATTAACCTGGCTCTCGGAACCTCAGTGCAGGAGTGTGGACATGTAAAAGCTCTGATAAATAAGCAGGCGCCAACCCATTTAAAATCTTAAAAACAAACAATAAAATCTTGAATTCAATCCTGAAGCGGACAGGAAGCCAGTGTAGTGAAGCTAAGACTGGGGTAATGTGCTTATACTTTTTAGTCCCAGTTAAAAGCCGAGCTGCTGCATTTTTGGACTAACTGTAAGCGTTGAAGAGATGACTGATCCAAACCAACATATAAAGAGTTACAGTAGTCTAGTCTAGATGTTATAAAAGCATGAATTACACTTTCAATCCGATCCAGCCATATTTTTAAATCTCTCAGGCAATTAAATAATGACAGAAATTAGACCGAAAACCTAAATAAAGATGATTAATGGGCTTCGTAAACTCTCTTCCTCTCTCAGGTCTCCCATCGCAGAGTTCCTGTTGTCCGGTGGCCCCAGTATGACTTGGCTGGTTGGGAATAAGTTAGTCACCATAACGACCAGCGGCGGCTCACGAACCCAAGCTCTTCTGGGTCTGGACATGGTAGAGAGGCCCGGAGGAGGAGGAGAAATGACCAGGTTACAAACATTTCAACATAGATGTCACCAACCAATCATGCTATTGCTATAGGTTAACATGTTTTAGCACATTGCTAGCATGAATTAGCATGTGCTAGCATGTTTATAAAATGTTTACCATGTTGTTAGCTTGTTTCTAGCATTTTTGGCACATGATAGATAGATAGATAGATAGATAGATAGATAGATGGAAAATAGATAGATAGAAGATAGATGGAAGATGGATAGATAGATAGATTGAAGATGGATAGATGGATAGATGGATAGATAGATAGAAGATGGATAGATAGATAGATAGATAGATAGATAGATAGATTGAAGATAGATAGATAGATAGATAGAAGATGGATAGATAGATAGATAGATGATAGATAGATAGATAGATTGAAGATAGATAGATGGATGGAAGATGGATAGATTGATAGATGAATAGATGAATAGATGAATAGATGGATGGATGGATAGATGGAAGATAGATAGATAGATAGATGGAAGATAGATAGATGGAAGA